GACTCAGTGCGAGACAGGTAGGCAGTATGACATCTCTTGTATTCTGCCTTGTAAGAGGCACGAAGTGCGGAAAATTCCGCATAATCAAGGGGACAGCGTGAAGCTTTAAACTTGGCATGTGCCCTCTTCTTGCTTAAAACAATATGCTTAAGATTTTTTGAAAACCATTTCGGGAATGTCGAAGGTATATAAGACACTTCCGGAACAAAGTTTAAAATGCAAAAGTGCAAAGCGTCATAAATTGCCTTAGCCGCTTCGTCAACGTCGAGAGATATTATGGTCTCAAACCAATTAAATGAGTTTAGGAATTCGCATATTTTTGAATAGGGAGCACGGCGGAAGTCATAATAATTATGGGAACGATCAAGTAAAGGGGAGAGTTTATCCAACTTTATCATAATATCAAGAGCCGGGTGGTAGAGATCACAAGGTACTGCTGAAGTTACGGCTTTAGAGATATAGATTCTGTTATCATTGGAGAACACAAGGTCCAAGACAACACCAAAAGAGTTTTGAATATCATTTAGTTGGAAAAAGTTTAAGAACGCAAATGCATCAGGGATACATTGAACTCTGGGATTAGTAACCGTATTGTAAAGTAAACCAAAATCATCATTGGACCATATAATATCTGGCAAATTGAAGTCACCACAAAAAATGAATACACATTCTGGATGAAGGGGAAGAACAGATTGTACAGCGGAAATAAAAGACTCATAAGCAGAAAGCGGGCAATTAGGAGGAAAGTACACTGAGCACACTACATAGTTGATGTTATTATAATTAAATTTAACAAATAGATGTTCAACATTGGTAGCTGGAGTGTAAATTAAATTAGATACTATGTCACTACGAATGGCAATGAGAGCGCCGCCACCTCTGGAAAAATTACTTGTTAAACTATTTCTATCACATCTATAAATGATGTAGTTGGATAGACCAAGTTCACTATCATAGAAGCTGTCACATAGCCATGTTTCAGTGAAACAGATAAAAACATAATCAAAAACAGCGACATTACATTTTAAACTACTTAGTTTGGTTCTTAACCCACGACAATTTTGATAAAAACCTAAGAGAATATGGTTACAAGTACATAAATCACTACATAAACAATAATCCTTACTATTATAATTATAAGCGTGTATATCAACAGGAGGATCACAGATAGGCGTACATGAAGAAATTAGTTTTTTGGAGTGTCGCTTAGAATCATCTCGGGCGTAAGACGACCCCAAAAGCGTTTGACCATTACGCCATCAGGCCAGAATGTAGGTTCGAGGACTTCATCAAGCTTCTCCGCAGGCAGGCGCACATGGAATGAAGAATATGATGGGTGTTTTGTCACTAATTTATTTATGGTCACATCTGAGTAGCTATTGAACAATTCAGATTCAAGCATAGTGGTCGTTACACACGGCTCAAGTCTTGAGACAAAGATATCAATATGCCTCCGCACTGGCACTGAAGACAACTTGGAGGATACACTTTTATGAGAGCCAACAATAAATTTTGATTTTATGGACGAGGATAAATTAGTAGTCGATTGGATTGCAGGCTGTCTAGAATGAGTATCCGCATTCAGCTTGGAGAGTAAAGTAGTTGGTAGATTGTTTGAACCAGTGTTTAAATTAGGAGAAGTGGTAACCTTAGCAGTCGTATTGAGACGGTTTAGCTTATCATGTAACTTAGAGTTACTAAGTGCTACAGATTTGAGCTCATCGACAACAGATTGAAGAATAGTGGCCACATTTAATGAGTTCTCAGAAGATAGCGATGTAGGGTTAGAAGAAGATCCTTTTAAGAATGTTGACAATTCCTCGCTCAATTTCACCCCAGTAGGTAGTGATTGAGTAATAATGAAGTCAACGAGCATGCTTTTTGTCCACTTATTCAGCTCAGTAGAAAGTAGATCATTACTTTGGGCCATTGCGTTAAACGACTAAAAGTTTAACTAATAAGCAAATATTCAAAATTAATTAAAATAAAATAAGACGCCTTTGAAAATGTAGATAGGCCAATTAAATTACACCAGACGCTAAAAGCAGCTATATGTGTTGGCCTTGACACGTGCCGTGTTCTAATCAAGAAAAATTCAGATGCGGGACGCCGCTACTTATCGTTAGTCGATAAGCCGTAATTAACTGATAAAGTGAATTTATTAGGTTTTACCTTATCACGTTCACGTAGTATAACAGAATTAAAAAACTAACATTAAGTGAAGAAATATTAGGAAGACTGACTCAACAACGACACCAGTCATTCGCGCACTTTTTATAAACTTAACGAGCTTAAAATATTAGTTGGTCTTGGATCTCAAGGTGGGAATAAATTATTAAAAAATAAACAATAATAATAAATATAAAATAGATAACCAACAATTATTTTATTTATTTATTAGGCAATTGTATTAATATTAACGAACATAATATAAAAAAACATATTTCCGATACTGCTTCAAATATTATTTCAACTATCACTCAAGATATGAATAATAAACTGGTATCTCTAAAAGTAGATGGTGTTACAAGGCACAATAAATCGTTTTTAGGAATAAATGTTCAATACATGCTTGAAAATACCATGGATTTACGTATTAAAACTCTAGCAATTTTTGAACTCGCTCAACGTCATACTGCGGTCTACTTAAAAGATACTGTAAGCATCAAATATATCATAGTAAATTTCAGTTTTGATATTTTATTATTTTACTATAAAGTATAAAACTATCAAATATAAAATAAATTAATAAACCAATATTTTTAATATTTTTAATTTTATAATATGTAGATACCTAAGTGTATCTCCAGTTTGCATAAATATTGTTTTTAATTATTTTTGATTAAAAATGTTCATAAGATTGTTGAAGTGATGAATAAATATAGTCTAAAAAAGAGACAATTGTTTTCAATTACAAGCGATAATGCTCCAAATATGCTGAAAATTTCAGATCTCTTAAATACAAGCACTGAAGAAGAAATAGGTACCTAACAATTTGCTATATACTTTTAAATCTTTTATTTATTAATTAGATGTTATCAGTTTTTTAAATGATTAATTTTTTTTTGTCTTTTTTAGTTTTAGAAGAAGTTGATACAGATACAGAGTTCAATTTACAGACCGAAAATATAAACAATGATTTGACCCAGTTTGAAAATGAAATAGAAAATGCTGTTAATTCTTTACCAACTACATCTAAAATTAGATGTGCAGCACATAGTTTGAATTTAGCTATAGAAGAAGCTTTGAAAATTATAAGTGTTCAAAATGTTTTAGCACGTGCTAGAGCGGTAAAACGTTTTTAATTATTATTACGTTTAAAATTAATTTTAACGTTTAACTTTATTTTATCTATTTATTAATTATATTAATATTTGTATTTTGCATACCATCTAACTAATCATTTTTTTATTTTTAATTAAACATATTCTAGGTTGTTAAAAAATTACGTACACCAATTTTTGCTACACTTCTGAAAAGACAGAATAAAAAATGTGCAATTCGTGACATAGAAACTCGTTGGTCATCAGTGTACGATATGCTTTCAAGATTGTGTGAGTTGAAAGATTTTTGTCTTGAATTTCAAGAAACAATGCCAGAACTACTAATATCCATTTCAAATTGGAATAAAATTGAAGAAATGGTACAAATTATTAGTTATATAAAATAATATTGCCAAATTTAAAACTAAATAGTATATTTAAATATAAACTTATAACTTTATAAGTTATATTACATTGTGTTTTTAATGATTACTATACATCTAATTATTTTCTTATTATCCTTTATATTTAAAAAATGATCTAGGTTGATACACTGAAACCAGCTAAAATAGGACTTGTCCAATTACAAAAAGAAGATATAACATTGAGTGATTTTTTTGCCATTTGGTGGAATGTGATGGCAAAATTAAAAAAAAAAAATTCAATTTTATCTAATGCGCTACAGAATACTATGCATCAAAGACAAATATTATTATTTGCTAATCCTACATTTGCAGCAGGTAATCCTTATAAATTATTACTTGCCATTTTATCTCAAATTAATAAATGTATCAAATGCTATTGTTTACCCATTAAAAATGTAAATTTTTTAAACTATATTAATTTAAACAACTTACATTTAGTGACTTACTTGGATCCTCGATTTCAATGTATACTGGATGCAGACCAAAAATCCATAGCAAAGGATCATTTGGTTAAAACATGGAATACAATTTTAGAAGTGGAAGGTAATGTTCAATCTAGTCAAAGTCATGTAGTTGAAACACAAGTGCAAATGGACGAAAACATTGATAATGAGATGGACGATTTAGAAGTTTTTTTACAAACCCAAAACAACAGTAATATAGGATCAGTAACTACTTCAGTGGGGCATCGATCAGTTCGTATATTGATAGAAGAGTTTGATAATGTTACAAGACTTCATCATAATAAGTGTGTTCATCAATTCTGGAGGGAAAATAAATTGCAAAAACCTGAACTATTCAAATTAGCTCAAGTATTAATGGCTGTCCCAAGTACTCAGGTAATATTTAAAATGCAATTTATAAATTAATAGGAAGTTGTCTCTTATATTTTTCACTTATCAGTTATCACATTTGTGTTAATTGATTAAAAAATTAAATAAATATAAATTATAAATTAATTATTGAATAAAGCCAATTGATACCATTGGTTAGTAAATATTAATTTCAATTTTATATCTTACCAGAAAAAATAAAAATGTATCTGGATTTAATACAATTTTAGCCTTATTATGTAAAAATACTAAGTAATTACTAATTATTATTTATTATTGAACTGTTATAGGTAACTGTTGAACGTACATTTTCTGGGCTCAAGTTTATATGTAGTGACCTAAGATCATCATTATCATCAGATTTGCTCAATGAAATCATGATAATAAGAGCAAATAAGATAGGAATATAGTGTATATTACACAGACTACTTTTTTTTGTTTATTGTTTTGTTTTTCAAATATTAAATTTGAACTTTGATCATAATAAAATGTTTTGTATTTCAATTGTTTCATGTTTATCAAACTGTTATCATTTATTTTATATTTTTAAGTTCATACTTTTTTAAGTATCTTAAAGAAAAAAGATATAAATTAAAAATTAAAATTTATAAGTACAGGTGCTACTTATGTAATCATGTAGTATTTCCTTTTTTTTATACTTTTATCTTTTATGCCTCTTTTCAACCCTATTGTCAAACCACAACTACATGCTTAAATGGTTTCAAAGGTGGTTTGTTATGTTTAAAGAAAATCAACTATTAAAAAAAAAAAAAAAATGAAAAACCGGTTGCAGGGTGGTAACCGGTAATTTTGATGATTTAAAACCGCTTCCAAACAGATAACCGGTAACCCAATTTATATAAGTTATTTTGGTAACCTGGAATCGATTACCGCAAATTCTAAAAACCCCGAAAACCGGTAACCGGTACCGAAAAATTTTCCGGGTCCTATCGGACCCGGTAACCATGATTATCGGCTGCGGTTTCAAGCCCTGGGTAGGTATAACCCGTGCAGCTGTTCGTCTTGTCTATTGGTTGACGTCACAGTTACCAACACGGGTGTACCGTCAATTTATCCTAAACAATTTACCGCACGATAATTGATCGCAAACTATATAGGTTATTTCAGGGTTATTTTAACATTATCTTATCTAACATTATACTCGTACCCTATTTTATCAGTCCGTATTTTTATTCCAGAAGCAGATGTAATAAAATGTTATAATGCATTACTAGTTACAAATTATTACCCAGACAATGAAGATCTACTGGCGCCGCTGTTGGATTATTTCGAAAATACATGGGTAGGAAAATAAGATAGGAGAGGAAAAAGAAAGCCCGCCAAAGTATGCAATCATATTATGGAACTGTTTTTCGAGAGTAATCCAAGATTTGGCTACCACAAATAATGCAATAGAAGGGTGGCACAATTGTTTCACATGACTTTAAATAGTATGCATCCTTCAATTTGGCGATTTATAGATACATTAAAAAAAGAAGAGAGCATTAACAGATTCAAAATCGAACAATATGTTGGGGGCAACGAGTCACCCAAAAACAAAAATTTTCAGGGCTTTGCACCCGAACGTAACCCGAAACCCGAAACCCGAATTAACCCAAATAAATAGCATAACCCGAAACCCGTATATACAAACCGATTGAAAAAAATAAACACCCGAAAAACACCCGAATTAACCCGAAACCCGAATTTCTATTCGGGTTTACCCGAAACCCGAATCATTTAAAATTAAGTGGCATATCAATTTGTATGTATTTTATGCAACTAACGCGATTAAGAAGATAAGAAGATAATAGTATAAGACAGTAGACAGTGTGTAACGCGGATAATTCAATATCAATAATCGCTTATCAACCAATCATTGACGACAACGACAATTAGTTATTATATAGATAAAACAATAATATTTTGTTTTACCGATATTTCAATATTGACCACACTGCGCTTGATTACAAACAATAAGAATATTATTCTATCATCATTATTCTTTGATTGTTCAAACACCAAACAACCAAACACGTGTTATTATTATAAAA